ACCCTAGACCCTAAACCGCCTAAACCCCTAAACCCTAAACCATAAACCCTAAACCCCAAACCCAAAACCCCAAACCCCTAACCCCTAAACCCTAAACCCTAAACCCTCAACCGCCTAAACCCAAACTGTTGATGACACCCGGGAAGACTCGGAACTCCAAAGCTTGGGGCAGGTCCTGGAGCCCGGGCGCCGACCTCAGCCTTCGTCGCTTTTTTTGTTTAGGGATTAGGGTTTAGGGCTGAGGGTTCAGGGTTTAGGGTTTGAGGGTTGAGGGTTGAGGGTTTAGGGTTTAGGGTTTAGGGTTTGAGGGTTGAGGGTTTAGGGTTTAGGGTTTGTGGAAGCTGGTGTTCTAAACCCTAAACCCTACTTGGAGGTTCAGGGGTAGTTATAAATGAGGTTCTAAGTAGGGTAGCTGTACTTATAACCCATACTAGGGGACTTATAACTCCACTTATAAATGCCCATGAACCTCCAAGTAGACCCTAAACCCTAAACCCCACAGGTTTCAGGTTCCCTTGGCGAGGGCTCCTCGAAGGGCTCTATAGTTCTCAGGGTGGCGAAGTTTATGGCCACTTTTTTAGGGTTTAGGGCTTAGGGTTTAGGATTTAGGATTTAGGGTTTAAGGTTTGGGATTTAGGGTTTAAGGTTCAGGGTTTATAGGCTTTAGGGCTTCTCTCTATTAACGGAACTCTTTGTCTACTTCCCTAAGAGGGTTCCGTCGGTTTCTGGGGCTTCAGGCAGGGCTTCGGGTGTTGGAGTTGCAGCTTCTCAGGTAAGGGATAGCCCCAAACCCCACAGCCCAAACCCCCAAACCCCAAACCCTAAAGCCTAAAAACCTAGAGCCTAAAGCCTAAACCCCCCAACCGCTAAACCCTAAAGCCTATGGCCTAAACCCCTAAACCCTAAACCTTAAAACCCTAACACCCTAACACACTAAACCGATAAGGATGGAAACAGGTTTTCCGGGGGTGGCCGTCAGAGGATGTAAGGGGGTTGAACCCTAGGGGCCCAAGTATACAACTCATGGTACCTACTTTGGGGTGTAAAGTTTCTAAATAGCAATACAGGGACCTGAATAATTAGAGTACGATTTTGGGGTATATTATACATACATAATCATAAATAAACGAATAAATAAATGAATAAAACAAATAAATACATGATAAGGACCCCCAAACAAAAAAAAAAACAAGCAAAGTATTGGTAATTATTTAGGCGCCAATATTGCCGACCGAGGGCTGCTTGGGGACCCAGGGCAACATCGGGTTGTGTTGCGGTTGCTGGGTTCAAAAGACGACCTGGTGAATTCGACCTGGCCCTTTATGCGTATATTCTTGTATCATGACATAAAGACTGCAAGGGAATATGAACAGTAGCTTTTTTTAGTGGGTTATACTAGAGGTTTTTTGAAGGTTCTCCTGAAGAGTTTGCTGGTTTTGTCAAACTTTCGGGTTTGCCGGATGTCGTGGGTGTCTGTGGCTGCTTGTCGGGGGGTTTAGTGCTGTAGGTGATTTCAGGGCTATGGCAGGAGCAGGGTTAGGAATTTGGGTGGCATTCTAGACAATAATAACAGCAACATAAACATGCAATGATATCAGTCGCAACGATGGTTGCAGTACGCGTGCAACCTGGAACGATGGCAGTGACGGGCTTTATCGTCCAAGCAGCAACAGCAAGCTTAGCCGGCGTGGCATTGTAAGTGTGTGTGTACATATATCTATACATAAATAGGTGTGTGTATATATATATATATATTGTGTACTTAGCAACTCTGTTGATCGGAAGTGCGTGTTTCGATCATGATGTAGGTCGGAGTATGTTCAGCTGGGCTTACACTTCGATGTTTCGATTTAGATGCACAGGTAGGTATAGATAAATATCTCCTTGTAGATCTCGTTGTCGACCAGTAATGTAGGGGCCTTAACCTTTAGAATAGGGCATTGGGGGGGTCCTTATTCTAATTCTAGTCTAAAACCTTAAACCCTACTCTAATTATTAAGGCCCCTATTTTATGTAGATTTTCACGGGTCGTCGCAGCCTTTAGGTAAAATGAGCCAGATGCCAGGCCACAGGGGAAAGTGTGCGTCGACTTCCCTGATGGCATTCGGGAAGTGAAGGCACCCGCCGAATTTCTAAGTCCACTCCAGGTGAAAATATGTAAGACTTAGGGTTTAGGATTTAGGGGTATAGTGTTTAAGGGTTTAGGGGTTTAGGGGTTTAGGGTTTAAGAGTTAGGGTTTAGGGTTTCGAGTTTAGGGTTCAATGTGGCACAGTGTTTTGTGGAGGGGGACCACCCACCCCTCCGTGTTCTCCCCAGACCAGACCCGCCCCGTCCTGGTAGAGTACTACTTACTGTGCACTAGTGCAGCATTAGCACTGGCGCAGTAAGTAGCCATCAGTAGTACCCTGAACCTTAAACCCTAAACCTATAAGTACAGTGGCAGGACAATCCGAGCCTGAGCCCCCCTAAAGCCCATGAAGCCTTAGAAGAGCTTGCAAATCTCTTGTTTCTCCAGGCTGAGGCCCATCACCATTCTTAGAACAAGCTGCTGCAGACCTTTCATCAAAACCAAGCAAGCCCTGTAGGCCCTATATGGCTCGATATAAACCTTAGACCGTCCCTAAACCGTAAGCCTGAAGCCTTGCGAATCCTCCGCAACGGTTCCAAAACCGGCGTTTCCCGTCTCAGGCCCCCTCGTGATATCCTCTAAGCAGTGAACGCAAACACAGGCAGCCGGTTTTTTGCGCATTATAGACGGCCACCCGTGCATGCCAGATCTTGACTAAGCCGCGGTCATGCAGCACTTATATCAGCATGAACAGTAGGTAGTATTCGGGAGACCCCCTGAAAGGGGACCCCTTCTTAATCCGACTTCTGGCTCTCCTAACTGGGAGGGTCTATATCCCCAAGGGTTCCCCCAATCCTAACTCCTGCTAATGTAGGCAGCTGGTCAAGAAATCCTGGTCCCCTAACCGCAAAGTACTGCAGGAGCCTAAATAATTGCCTATACTATTTTGGGGGGGATTCCTTAGTATAGTTACAGTATACTGGGCCCCAAAACCCTAGTCTAATTATTAAGGCCCCTATAGTAAACCCCAAACCCTCACACCTAAACCCTAAACCCCAAAGTACAAGGACTTCCTATAAAGATCCCTCATACCCTTATTTTATTATGATGATGGTCTAACATAGCCCCAAACCCTCTTCTAACTATTCAGGCCCGTAAGTAGTAGGATTCCTATCAAGATCCCCTAACAAGGACCCAGGGTTGCTCCATCAGGTTCCTATATTGAATTATAGAACCACTGTGGGGCTTGGGATATTGGGGTTCAGGGTTAAAGGGCTCGCACTCACCTAAATAAGGACATATTACTACTATCCCCTTCGAATCTTTTTAGAACTATACTACAATATACTCCAGTGAGCAGTACCGTCGCGAGAACTGTTTGGGTAGTTCTCTAAATTATATAGTACGGCACCCTTTTAAAAAGGGCCCTAAAAGGGACCTTAATTTAGGGAATAATACCCAATTATAAAACCACTGGAGGTCCCTTGTAGTTCTTGGTTTAGGGTGCAGGGTTTAGGGCTTAGGCTTTTAGGGTTTAGGGGTCCCTTGTAGTTTATAGTTTAGGGTGCAGGGTTTAGGGTTTAGGCTTTGGGGTTCAGGGTTCAGGGTTTAGGGTTGAAGAACCTTTGAGGGAAGAAAACCAGGTTTCTACATTAAAGTTCTTGTCTGGATGCCAGGTCCAGCTGCTTCGCCCGGTCGAAGACGTGGCCCCCTTGTGCCGGCTAACGCGTGGGCCCTATGTCTGCTTGAAGGTGTCATATTTTGGGGGTTCCTTATTATAATTACAGTATAACGGGCCCCGCAACCCTATTCTAATTATTTAGGCCCCCATATTATGAGTAGTCATTAGTAGCTTAACTCTAACTATACCCCTAATTAGGGGACTTGTAATTCTTGTTATAACTATCCTATCCGTGAACCTCCAAGTAGGATATCGGTTGGTTCAGGGTCCAGGGTCTAGGGCTAGGGTTTAGGATAAAAGTGACCCGGATCAGTAGCAACAGCAGTCTTACTCTAATTATACTAGAGTACACCTCAAAGCCCTTTCCTACCAGGTTAGGGTTCTGGGCTTTAGGGTTTACTTGGAGGTTCATGGGTAGTTATAAGTTAGAGTCCCGTACAAAATGGTGACAGTTAGAGTTACCCTACTTACACAAGCCCACATCAAACTGCCCCTTAAACCCTATAGAACGCTTGAAAGGAGCCTTTAAAGGAACCCCATAACCCCACCCTAACCCCTAAACCCTAAACCCTAAACCCAAACCCTAAACTCTGTTTAGGGTTTAGGGTTTAGGGTTAAGCCACCCCTACGGCTTTAGAGCTTCAGGAGCTTGGGGGCCTTCAGGGTTTAGGGTTTAGGGGTTTAGGGTTTAGGGATTAGGGTTTATGGTTTAGGGGTTTCGGGTTTAGGGTTTAGGGTCTAGGGTTGAGGGGTTTAGGATCTAGGGTTTAGGGCTTACTTGAAAGTTCATGGCTAGTTAGAAGTGGAGTTATATGTTGGGTAGCCATAGTTATAACCCTTATTGGGAGACTTACAAACCCACTTACTACCAATGAAGCTCCAAGTAGGGGTTTAGGCTCTGGGGTTTCGAGGTGTGGGCTTTGGTTTAGGTCGCAGGTTTTATTTCGGTGTGGGGTATCGGGTTGAGGTTCAAGGACATAGTCGAGTGGAGGTTTGGGTTAGCGGAGGTTGACGAACGCAAGATGTTTCATGTAGGGCTTAGTGTTTAGGGCTTAGTATTTAGGGCTTAGGGTTTAGGGTTGAGGGTTTCTGCAGAGGGGGGTCGGGGTAGTCATGTGTCGGGTTCTGTAATACAGAGGCCTTACTAATTGGAATAGGGTTTTGGGACATATTATACTATAAGTGTGGTAAGGAACCTCCCAAAACCCAAATCTAATTATTACTTAAACCCTAAACCCTAAACTAAACCCTAAACCCTAAACTAAACCCTAAACCCTAAACTAAACCCTAAACCCTACATGAATTACGGTCCTTACGAAAGGCCGGTGGGGCTTGGAAAAGCTGCAGGGCAGCTTGAGGACCCTGAGCACGCTGTATAAGTCTGGGACATGTTCAGGTGGGTAGTTACCGTTGTAGGAGCCTTGTAGAAGGCCTATATACCTTATGGAAGCCTTATAGAGGGCCCTATACCCTAAACTCCCCACCTGTAGTTTCCTTTAAACAAGGAGCAGGTCTATTCGGTTTAGGGTTTTTGGGTTTCTTATAAGTATCCCTTTTTAGGGCTCTTTAAAACGGGATGTATAAGGGTTTCTATAAGGGGGCCATGAGGGTTCTATATGGGTAGTTCTCTGAATTAGTGTTCCTTTTCGCGTCCTTTTTACAAGCGTGCTGCACTCTATTCGGGATCTCAGAAGGGACCCTAATGTAGAGAACTACCCATATTGGAGTTTCCGAAGGTAAGGAAATACGAGGATCTTTCGTCCCTAAACCCTAAACCCTGAACTTTAAACCCTAAACCCCAAAGCCTGTTCCAAGTTTCACGACCTAGACCTTACTTTGCAATCTGCAACCCTCAGACGACCCGACAACCCTCAATAAACCCTACTTGGAGGTTCATTGGTAGCTATAAGTGGAGTTATAAGTAGGGTAACCATAATTACAACCCATACTAGGGGACTTATAACTCCACTTATAACCACCCATGAACCTCCAAGTAAGCCAAGTCCTAGAACTAACTACCTCCACCCTGGGGTCAGGGCTAAAAACCATACACCCCGAAGCCACCCTAAGCTCCAACAAGCAAATCCAAAATTCGTAAACCCTGCCCTAAACCTGCTGTTCGCCTTTAAGTTCCCAAACCCGGGGTGTAGGGTTTAGGGTCTAGGGTTTAGGGCTTGCTTGGAAGTTCATGGGTAGTTACAAGTGGAGTTATATGTAGGGTAGCCATAGTTATAACCCTTATTAGGGGACTTACAAACCCACTTATAGTTAAATGAACCTCCAAGAACCCACCCTAAACCTCAAACCCTGGAAGAACAACATTAACTAAGTTTTACCTTTGCACCACCTCTGAACGACGGCCCTAAACAATCGTAATATAGGGGTCGGAATAATTGCGTAGCAACATGATTCCATTTTATAGTATGAATTATAGTGACTGCCAGAAAGTTGGAACCTGGGTTTAGGACAATCAGTGCTAGGATTCCCTGTTTTTATTGTAAGGGCATGAGTATAATGATGTTCCAACTTTCTGGCTTCCACTTTAATTTACATCAAAACTCCATCAGAACTTATATCAAAACTCCATCAGACTTGGCAAAGGGGCGCTTAGATGATGTGTTGTTTTCTTGAGGTCCGGCGAGTGTTTCGGCGAATTGTCGTTACTGTACAACACGCCTGGAGCTGAGCTGCCATTTCTGGGGGGGTTATTCTACGGCTAAACCCTAAACCCTAAACCCTTAAACCCTAAACGCTAGACCCGAAACCCTAAACCCTAAACCCCTAAACCCTTAACCCTTAACCCTTAACCCTTAAACCTAAACGTAGCTAGATAAGGGGGGGGGGGACTTCTAGCAGCTACCGTGTTTAAGTACTGGGTGTTGTGTTCGAGTCTTTGTTTGAGGGTAAGAACTCAACGGCTTCATCGCGCGCTATCAAGGTTATACAGTATATAAATGTAATTAGAACAGAGTCTCTCGGGTTTAGGATTTGGGTGTTGGGTCTAGCGTCTTAGGGGATTCATAGAGAAGAGAAGCCTAAATAATTACCAATAGTATTTTTGGGGGGGGTGCCTTATCATACTGATATCATGCAATTATAAGGTACCCAAAAGCCTATTCTAATTATTAAGGCCCCTACATTGGGTTTGCGTGGATCTAGAGACTAGAGTGCTTGCTTGAGGCTTGGGGGTTTAGGTTTTGGGGGTTTCGACGTGGAGGAGGCTAGATTCGACCAGAATGGTTCTAACATGCTCTAACGGTCTCGCGCAGACCATACGTGCTATGCTATGCTGTCGGCGACTATAGCACTCTTACCCCCCTTGGAAACTAGCATACACAACAGTGCTACACATTTTTGATCATCCGAATATTGCTAGAATGCTTAAAAGATCCTTCACTGGTACTGCCGTGGCCCGAAACTCTAGAAGCCCTAAAACCTCAATGCCCTGCCCTATGCTTTGAACACGGCAGCACTGAGGGAAACGGAAGGGTTGTGCCGCACAGCCTAAACCGTAAGCCCTAAACCCTAAACCCTAAAAGGTGCGATAGGAACGAGGTCGATGCCATGTGGGCACATCGTAGCGTTTGCCGCTGGAGTCCCAACAGCGTGACATTTCCGTGGTGCATGGGCAAACAAGAAGAGGTCGTGAATGCCCATTGAATCGAGCGAAGTGAAGCAGTTCCCTAGACCCGGAGCTACAAAAGCGTAAGAAACGAAACCCTCCAAGTCTAAACCTGCTGGAGGTCTACGAGACTTGTCTTTCGTATTGTCGATTCTGGCATATCGCAGTGGTTCAAAAGCACGGCAGAAAACACAAAGTGCCATTAGATCCTTTTCTGAAACCCAAAGCATGAAGCAGGCCATCAAGGGCGCCATAAAGGGGCGTCGAGAATTACCTAAGCTATTGTTTTTTTGGGGGTTCCTTTTTGCATTATAGTAGAAGATAGCCCAAAACCCTGCTTGAAATAGTAAGGCCCCTACATTACACCCTAGCCCTGAGCTCGTTTCTGCCCTTAGGAAACTACGGTTTAGGGTTTAGGGTTGAAGCGCCCCAGACCCAAGATGCTTTCCTAGCTGCTGAGGAGGTAACCCGTAACCTTTTTGGAGGCTTACATAGCCCTACGCTTCCAGGGACCTCATTATTGGGTCCTTAAGGGTCTTAAGGGGTCTAGGGCCCTAACTATAAGGTCCTTGGAAGCATAGAGGTAATTTAAAAGGTTAACCCTTTTTGGGCCAGGGTAATCAGCCCCTAAGAAACTCTAAACCCTGAGACCTAGACCCCAACAACCTGCAAGAGCCCTCGGAGTGGCGAGGGGAATCAGCCCCTAATATAGGGGCCTCAATACCTGCCTGAATTTTTTTTTGGGTGGTTCCTTGTTCTAGCTACATTGTAAAGGACCCCCAAAACCCTATTCCAATGAATATAAGACCCTACACTAAGCCTTTTTTTGCATCTCGGAGGCGCCACCTTGCGACTTGCAAATCTGTGGAGCCCTCGGTTGCCAGGGCCCCGGAGCAAACTGAGTTGCATTATCTTGGGGTTCCTGATGTATTAGTTTAATTATATATATATATATATGTATATATATATATATACATTTATGTATTTACTTTTTAATTATGTATATAATTTTTTAGTAGAATATAACCCAAAGCTCTATTCTAATTACTAAGGCCAGATTCACATAGGGGCCTAAACATTCACCAATAGGACCAATACTATTTTAGGATTGCTTGTTACCTTGTGATGGTTCTCAAGGAAGGACCAGGGGCCCTGGAAGAAGGCCTTCTGAGAATACACACCTTTCATTGCTGAGGCGATGAAATTCGGGTTCCGATGGGATTGGAAACTCTACCTCCGGAGTCACCGCCACAACACCCTGCAGTAGTAACTTTTTTTGCTTGACTTCGGCGCGCGGTACCAGAAATTGCAAATGGCAAAGAAGACAAAAAGAGTATCCTGACGTAGTACAAACACCATCGAGATCCATAGTAAAAGCCCCCCTAAACCCTAAACCCTAAACCCTAAGCCGAAACCCAAAACCCTAAAACAGCAAAACAAGGAGTAAATGTCCGCCCTTTGCCAAGGTCTATGCAATCCCCTACAAGGCCTTCAAGCAGCCGGGGGCCCAACCAAAAGGAAGCCGATAAAGGGGGCGGGTTTAGGGTTTTAGGGTTTAGGGTAGACAGACTTAATCAGGTGGGTTTCGGGTACTTGGAGGTTCATGGGTAGTTATAAGTGGGGTTATAAGTAGGGCAACTATAGTTATCATCCATATCAGGGGACTTATAGCTCCACTTTTTCTACCCATGAACCTCCAAGTATATGGCACTGAAAGTGTCCTTTCGAAGCAACCAGCAGAGTTGAGGCGTTCGTCTGGGAAAATGGGCATCGAGGTGTTTCCGAAACCCCTTCTACAGGTTTTGCGCCCTAAACCCTAAACCCTAAACCCCTTCTACAGGTTTCGCGCTTTTACTCTCCCATGAGCCTTTTCCTTGCAAGTGTGAGGTTCAGTGACGGGTTGTTGGGTTTAGGGTTCAGGGTTGAGGGTTTCGAACGTTGATGTTCTGATCTCATCCACTACGGCAAGTGCGCGCCCCAAGCCCTAAGCCCCAAACCCTGAACTTTAAACCCTTACAATCCCTTAAACCCTAGCCCCTAAACTTTAAACCCTAACCCCTAAACCCTAAACTTTAAACCCTAACCCCTAAACCCTACACCCTAACCCCAAGGTGCTTCGGAAGGAGAGAAGGGCGGCCGCAGGTGGGGCGGGAGCTCTTTGCCCTGTCTCACCGCTTGTGTTTTGGGGAGGTACAAGTTCTAAATATGTTGGTGTTTGGGGGTTAGGGTTTAGGGTGTAGGGGTTAGGGTTTAGGGGCTATAAGGGTTTAAAGTTTAGGGTTTGGGGTGTAGGGGTTGGGGATTAGGGTTTAGGGTTTGGGGCTATACTTGCCTCGATGGCACTGGCGGGGTCCAGCCAGCTTTTGAGCCGCAGGGTGTGTCACTTCAGGCTTGTATCTCTTGAGGTTGTAGCACAGGGTGTCTGGAAATACAGGTGGGGTTTGGAAACCCAAACCCTGAACCCCAAACCCTAAACAGTAAACATTGCAACGGTGTGTGTAGCAGCGTAGGTGGGTTTTATGCCCGACGGGATCCTCTGTCATCAGTTTAGGGTTTTGGGTTCAAGGGTTAAGGGTTCAGGGGTTTAGGGTTTAGGGTTTTGGGTTTAGTGTTTAGGGTCAGCAGGCACCAAAGATTCAAAGGCTTCCTTCCTCAACCGGGTAGTTCTCTGAATTAGGGCGCCTTTCTGGGTCCCCAAGATAGTACGGCACCCGTATGAAAAGTTCCCTAAAAGGGACCCTAATATATAGAGCTGCCCATTTTGAGAACTTTAATACGCTTTAAGTCCTAAACCCTAAACCCTAAACCCTGGCATATCCTGTCCTGGCCAAAACGCTGTGGAACTCTTTGGGCCCTGGTGATTGAAGGACCCTAAGCGCTGCACAAAACCCGCCGGAGTGCAGACAAAAACAGGTTTAGGGTTTAGGGTTCAGGGTATAGGGCTTTGGGTTTGGGGTTTTGGGGTTTAGGGTTTAGGGTGAAGCAGAGACTTGCAGCTGCCAGGAGAAGGTCTGGATCAAGCTGCTGGACGAGGTGGCATGGTTTTGGGGTCTGGCTGTTTCTTAGGGGCTGAGTAGGTGACTTTTAACCGTTAAATTTAACCTTTTGGGCCTTAGGTACTCCTACTATAGCCGAAGAAGGTAAACCTTTTTCGGGCTAGGGTACTCAGCCCCTAAGGTTTAGTGGCATTTGATGTTTTGGTTGCGGGGTCTGAAGTTTGGGTCAAGCTGCTGAATGTGCCGAAATGTTGTTTTGGCTCCTTTAAGGGTAAGGGCAAGGGTTCTATATTCGGCCGCATATTCTGGTATGGATACGTGTTTGTATGTAGTTATATATCCGTATGCATACAGAACATGGTTTACATCTATATATATATATACATATAGATATTCATTTACGTATTTATTTACGTACCTTATAAATACTACATATACACACACATACAAGCTCGCGGCAGATCTGTGCATCAATGTGGAGCCGAGAGTATATATTGCCTACCACAAGCAGCCTAGAAGTTTGACTTTCCAGGTGGGAGCCCTACTGTCTAAGCCCCAAGCCCTGAACCCTAAACCCCAAATCCAACTCCTCTTCAACCATGGCACCAAAAGTGAGGGGTGTTCTTCCGGAGAGGATGTGCTGTGCGTATTGGCATCGTCGAGTTGGGCATTACGGCAAGATGTCGGGGGAGACGCCTTTCTCGGAACCCCGCTTCTACTGCAACTGTCCAACCACTTACTTACAGCCAGTGGAGGTAGTCCACCCTGGCCCTTTAGGGATTCCTTAAACGGCTCCTTTAAAGGGGTTCCTTCAAAGGGCTCCTTTTGTGGTGGCGTTTTAGGGATTCCTTAAACGGTTCCTTTAGAGGGCTTCCTTTAAAAGGGGTTCCTTCAAAGGCCCTAAACCCTAAACCCTAAACCCCTAAACCCTAAAACCCTAAACCCCTAAACCCCTAAACCCCGAAGCCCCTAAACCCTAAACCCCTAAACCCTATACCCCAATAAAACCCTAAGCCCCTAAACCCTAAACCCCTAAATCCCTAAAGCCCTAATCCCCCAAACCCCTAAACCCTAAACCCCTAAACTCCCAAACCCTAAACCCCTAAATCCCTAAAGCCCTAAACCCCCAAACCCCTAAACCCTAAACCCCTAAACTCCCAAACCCTAAACCCTAAACCCCTAAATCCCTGGTGGCTCTGTTGTCAGGTGAACTTCCT